AATTGTCGATTATTGCCTTGAAATTGTAATTGCGATTATTAATTACGATTATCACAATTTACATTGAATGATGTTTATACCATTGTTAGATGCAACTGCATGCCGTATTTTTATATGAAAATAAACAAGCTGAAAACACTCTACCTGAAAAACCTTTAGTGCTTTTCTATAGTATTAAGCCTCAAATATCAACTATACACCGGATTGGTTTCTTCTTTAAATTGTAAAAAAGTTAAAATATGAATGGTATTATAATGTTATACTAAAACTAAAATTTAAATAATGGGAAAAACCCTTAAGACAACATGTAGAAAGAAAACAAAACATATCTTAAGCACGTAGAATAACATAAGTGGACTTTGAACGATTAATTGCCGCTTTGAACGATTACGTAATTGTGGCATCCATAATTGTAATCGCGATTAGAAATTCGATTAAGCGTGCAGCCCTACATTCAAAGTTTTAGGTTCAATAGGATTTAAGAAAATAAATGTTTTTGTTTGTTTGTTTTTTCCCCCCAGCAAGGACACTTTGAATTGATCAAAAGTGACAGTAAAGACATTTATAATGTCAATTCTAATACAAAGAATCCTGTACAAAATTATCATGGTTTCCACAAAAATATGAGCAAAACAACTGTTTTGAACTATGATAATAAGAAATCTTTCTTACTATATTAATATATTAGAATGATTTCTGAAGGAAATGTGACACTGAAGACTTGAGTAATGAAGCAAAAAAATTGGCATTAATAAATACAAATATTAAAATAGAAACAGTTATTTTAAATTGACAATGTTTGAAAAAAAAATACTGTATTTATCAAATAAATGTAGCCTTTGTGAACAAAAGATAATTATTTCCAAAAGAAAACAAACTTACCATCCCAAAACTTTTACGCAATATATATTTAAAAAATATTTTTTAGCTATAATAGTCATAACCAATATTGGTATGGGTCATATGGGTTTTGAAATACAATACGTTTTTAGGTGTACAGTCCCTTTAAGATCCTGTGCTTGCTTTCAGCAATGCTTTCAGTGTTTCACCAAGAGCTGACACGAGGAATCCCCAAGACAGCAGACCCTCAGCACCCAAACTACAGAAAAACATCACAGCGACGCATCGAGAAGGACTGGTGGGTGTCAAAACCTAACTTGATTAAAAGAGGCTTGGGCTGGGAGAGAAAATTCGGTTGAGTGTAACAGGAGAGTTTAAGTGCACAAAGAAAACTGGAAGTTCTTTACACTGTGTTGATTGCAGTGTGTGTGTGTGTGTGTGTGTGTAGTGCAATTACAGGCTTTTCAGAGCACTGCCCACCCAGTTGCTCGACTAACACACAGAGCACGAGGGGAAAAAAAGGAGACTTTCCAAGCCAACTCGTATGTTCACTCATATTTGGCTTCCAAACAAATTTTAGTAAAGTGTGTACAAATGATGGATTAATAGAAAAAGAGAGTAAAAATAGTGAGTGAGTGTGTGTGTGTGTGTGTGGTGGGGGTTACTCACAAACTCCCACTCAGGTCAGAAGGAAAAAGCCTTTCAAACTTCCCTAATCCTACAACCAAGAATGTCTCAATGCAAACTCAATCCAAGCTCAAACTTTCAGCGCTGTCAGCTTTCTAGACTGGCGATAGAATGAGGAGGAGAGAAAAGTGGCAAAACCTCACGGAAGAAGTGTTTGAAGAGGTTAGCCATATCCATTTTGGGCTATCCCAGCGACTCGGCACTTCCCTCTGCAGCTGTGCAACTATTCCATGTGAAACACCCTCCCGCGAGTCAACCGCTCTCCGCCTGCACAACGATCGACTGCCTGACCATGTGACCAGTGTGGACCAATCACAATCAATCCCTCCTTTAGCAGGACTAGTCTGCCCCCCATACACACACAGGGAACTCATGGCGTCTATGGTGACTAGCAGGCAACCCTGACTGCCAATAACAGTCAGCTTTAACAAACAAACAAAAAACACAGCTTTTTATTCTGTTTTCACATTTTTTTTGCCGCAAATGATTGATATTCATTGACAGCAGCAAGTTTGCACAGAACGAGCCATGAACACCCAGTCTGTTCATACTAAAACAAGAACATGCAACATGTTTGGACATGTTATTAATGTGTTATTCTTTAAAGTACCATGCAAATACCAAGATAATTACCATATTTATGTACAGCATACTAAAATGAAATTAGCATCTGATATCAGCATTGAATACAGAAAAAAAAAACACAAACTTAATAGTTGAAGTACATAATTAATATTAAATAGACAAGTTATGGAATTCAAAAACTGAAAAGGTAACAGGGTTGCAAATTTAGCCTCAATTAAACAGTCACTTCATAGGGACTAGCTAGTGTGTGAATTTTTATAGTTATTGATAAACTTATTTTGTTTGATCATATTTTCTTACAATAAACAGTGCCGCAAGGCTGAGCACGATGAATGCAATCAACACCACAAATATGATTAAGGGTGCTTTCACACCTGTAGATCGATTGCTTTGTTCCGAAACAGGGATTACAATGATTACAATGTTGCTTTTTATTCTTGGTGCGGTTCGCTTTCACACGGCAAAGTTTCTAAACGGACCAAATTTGTTAATACAAGTCACGCGCAAGTAAACTGTTGTCTGATTGGTCAAAGTTCCACGGTTTATTTTCCGGGATTCCACTAGCTGTCACGGCTGTCATCCGTCAGGATGGGACGACAACAGCTTCGCAGGCTTATTGTTGGGTTATTTTTTTTGTAGCTGACCTTATATTAATTTATCATTTTGAGCAGGAGTCCAGGATTCATCGGGAAAACATTTTTAAAATGCACCTACTAGGAAGAAGAGCATTAAGATGGCATTATAAAATGAAAAAGTGCACTTTTTTATTTTGAATGGCGAAGACGTGCTCACCCACAGACATTCACATGGTTCATTTTGAAGTATTAGTAAAACAACAAAGCTAATGCTTTTCACGGAACTTACGTAATTACCCATTATACATTGTGATATAGCTTGGTTCGTTGGTCCGTTAGATCGGATTGCTTTCTCACTACAACCGAACCGCTCCAGAGTTTGTTTTCAATCGAGCCGAGACCACCTCATTCAATCCTCCTCGTGATCTCGGACCGATTGTTTTGGCGCGGATCCGAGTGCGATTGCCGTGTTCACATATGCCCAAACGAACCGAGCTAAGGGGGGAAACGCACCAGGTTCCGAAACAACGGGCCAGGTGTGAAAGCACCCTAAGATTATTTGTCATATGTGACTCTGGACCACAAAACCAGTCATAAGGGTCCATTTTTTGAAATTGAGATTTATACATCATCTGAAAGCTGAATAAATAATGAGGGTGCAAAAAAATGTAAATATTGAGAAAACTGTCTTTAAAGTTGTCCAAATTAAGTCCTTAGCAATGCATATTACTAAGGAAAAATTAAGTTCTAAATCTATTCCAGGAGTCCTTCATGGGGTCCAGGAAGGTGCAATATGACAGAAAATCTGTGTACTGCAAATGGCAGGGCAGGAAGGGCACTTAAAGGTGATGATGACATATGCAAACACACGCACATAAACTTAAAACACAACAACAGACATATAAGAGAAAGCCTCAAGAACAGAGGCTGTGTGAACAAGCCATTTTCAAAACCGCCACAAAGACAGCGATAGAGAGATAGCTATCAGCAAGTACACAACTCTCATTGAACACCTCCGGCTAAACACAAGAACCTGTTCCTGATCCTGTGTACCAACAGCACAGACCCAACCTCCAGCTAACCACCACAGAAACGCTTTAAGAGTACACCGATGTGAAGATTAGATTAAAGAGCAAATATGCGTCTCACAGACGTGTGCCTGCAGTTTCATCAAACGTCACATCAAATATTTACTAGCAGAGACTATCGCTTTAAAAGGATGAAAAATAAAAAAAAACAGACATAAACATACGTACATTTATTTATTTGTATGGCAACATGCATTAGCGAATTTAGGGGTTGTTTACACTATTTTTTATTTTTTTACACTACTTTTTGCTATTTTTTTAACTAAAATCGGAAAATTATGCGTTTTGGTCGTTCATTTCAGGACAATGGCGTTTTGGGGGCATGAAAACGCAAACTTTGAAAACAGGTTTCAAAGTGCAAGAACTGAAAACAATACCATTATCATCTCCATGTAAACTACAAAAACATGAATTTGTGAAAAGTGACATCATGCGCATAGTGTTTCTTTACAAAGTGACAGCGCCAGCTACTGGCTTGGCATGCATAATGCAACATTTTTAGTCGGATCCATATGAACTGGGATCGTTTTGACAACACTGCCCTCTGTATGCAAAATTTTCAAGAATGCAAAGGAAAAACTTCTGTTTTTATTAAAATCGTTGTTGCATAAATGTATCCTCCGATATAGTGGGTTAGTTGCCACATGGACTGTTTCTCAGCAGTGTTAATTTCATTGACGAATAATTTGTCGTCATCATTTTTGTCAACGACATTTTTTTCACAGACGACAACGAACTAAAACTCTTTTTGAATGTCAAAAACTATGACGTAAATCTATTGATATTTTCGTCAACTAATAAAAATGAGACGAAAATGTTAGGGAGGGATGATTTGGGAAGAGATTCATTCAGAACGAATCTGCTGCGTGGTTCGGAGGTTAGATGCGTACATATGAACCGGCGAGACATAAGCTAACATACATTTGCTGCACGTCGCATAAAATGTTCAAAAATGTCAATATGTGGGAGTAAGAGAAGAGCAGACATATGGATAAATCTGACGACGCAAGAGAGAACTCAATTCGGTCCGGTTTTCTGAGCGTAGACACTGAAGCATACACACACAGAAAGCGCGTCTCACAGCGCGCGATTACCCTTTCGCGTCTCATGAACGGAGAATTACACACAAAATGATGTCGAATTGTCCGTTTTGACGAGTATTCACGTAAACACAGTTGATTACGTCTTAAGTGAACGTAAACAGTAGGGAGAACGTGTATCAGTCCATTGCATCCATCGGAGCTGTGCATTCGGTTTTAAAGGGACAGCAGCCTAATTTAGTTGCTATTGTCCGAGTCATTGATGTTAATCAAGCAACAAAAGAAAGACAGAAAATCACGCACTGCTCTTGACTGAAAAACTTTAGTAGCCCTAAAGATTAATCTAAATTTATTTATAGAAATAAATATTTCTGCTTGAAAGAATGAAGAATGTGTTAAACAAGTTGGTATAAAGAATGCACAATTAGCCTATATAACCATTAGTATTTCATTAAAAAGAAGACCATGTTCTTGTTCTTTATGAGAAGTGGTTTTATCTCATTTTAACACAAAGGCATGTTGTGTGTCACCGCAGTTAAATCGGTGTCTATCATGATAAAACCTTAATATCAAACCTATATAATGAGTTTGGAAATTTTGGAGAAATGCTTAATAAACGCATTTACACTGTAACTAAACCCATTAGATTTTAGCCGACTAAATTTACTGTAGATTTAGTCGACTAAAATCTTATGATATTTAGTCGACTAAAACTAGACTAAAACTAAAAACAATTCAGATGACTAAAATATGACTAAAAATAAATGGAATTTTAGTCAAAAGACTATGACTAAAACTAAATTAAAATTTGCTGTCAAAATTAACACGGTTTCTCAGTAACTTTAAAGGGATAGTTCATCCAAAAATTAAATTTCTGTCATTAATTACTCCCCCTCATGTCGTTCCAAACCATGAGACATCTTCGGAACACAAATGAAGATATTTTTGATGAAATCCGAGAGCTTTCTGACCCTGCATAGACAGCAATGGAACTTCCACGCTCAAGGTCCAGAAAGGAAATAAGGACATCATTAAAATAGTCCATGTGACATCAGTGGTTTAACCGTAATGTTATGAAGGTACAAGAATACTTTTTTGTGTGCCAAAATATCTTAATTTGTGTTCCAAAGATGAACGAAGGTCTTATAGGTTTGGAACGACATGAGGGTGAGTAATTAATGACAGAATTTTCATTTTTGGGTGAACTAACCCTTTAAACTTTTGCATCGAATAGAGGCTTGAAAACCATGATGTTCTGTTAAAAAAAAACTAAAGAAAGGCCAAAGAGCCTTGGGATAACATTAGCCAGAGGCTCAGAGCAGCACTTCCACTCTGGTGATTGTACTGAGGGGGGTCCAGGAGGTCTTCAGGTGTGGTAAACGTGGTCTAGTCTAGACAGGAACATGATGAGCTAATCTTTCAATCTCCTCCGTTTCTCTTTGTCTTGCTTATTTCCTGACACTACGCCTCACATTCCAGTGTCACAAACACTTCCCTCATCAGCATCTCAAATCCTCTAAACGCAAAAGAATTCAGCATGGAATGAAAAGTCACCCTTTATATTTTATGCATGCATGCTATTGACCATATTGTGAACGATTCATCAATGCATGCGTTTCATTTAAAAAAAAAAATTTAACCTCAATTTTTTATTAAAATATCAAAACCTAATATTCTGGTGTAAGGGTAGAGTTTTCTCTGGCAACATACTGGTTTAACTCAGATGTACGTCACAGAAGAAAAGATCTGTTGCTACTTCCGTTACAAAATATATACTGTATGTGTGTGTATTTATATATACATAATAAATATACACCGTACACACACATATATTATATAAACAAAAAACGTATTTCGGATGCGATTAATCGCGATTAATCGTTTGACAGCACTAATTATTTTCATGGTAAACAAATTCTTCCCTAATTCTGTC